TTTTACCCTATCGTTTTGAAAAAACAACGTAGACTAAAGCCTAACATTACCAGTGCAACTTTTAGACGAGGACTTCATTTAAACCTTTGTTTGATATTCGATTCTTAATTAAAGTTCCTGAATAAATTTTTAAATCTAATGCTACTTCGTGTTATCTATTTAATCGTTGCAAGAAACTTGTGATATATGAGCCTCTCAGCATCTAGTTCATATGTAGTAAATTTAAGTGATTTAGTACATATCTTCGTCATTTTCTTGGGAAACCTACAGACTCGGGTCCTCTCATAACTTATTCTAACCATCACGAATTGTCACGGCAGCTGATGGATGGACACGCGTTACACATCCTAACCGTACCTGCGTCTTATCTTATAGCTCCTTATTCAAATGCCATATGACAAGCAAGCAATGCCCTTACCCGCACTAATGGAACACTAGTAACTCAAATGCACCCTATATGGTACCTTACATTGGTCTACGCACTCGCTTAGCTTTTTAGTGAGAATATTACTATAGTCCAGCTAAAAATCCCATGAACCACCCTATATCCATCAAAACAAATAAGTCTGTATTTGCTGCATATAGCAATTTTATTTCTCAGAAGATATAACAGTTAGAATTGGAGTAAAATGACAGTATTGTAGCGTGGTGTCGAGTCGAGGTTAACTATGAACACCGCTATCAAGAAACACGTGCCAAATAAATCAGAAGGCGAAGGTTGAACTTAACCAAGGAAACCCATAAAATCCCCGAGAAGTCAAATACCAGAAGGCAAGTAATGGACCAAGTCGAGATATATATTTGCTGGTGATCTCGTGGCATCGAAAGGATACCGAGATCGTGCCAGGATACAAGCTTGGTTACAGAACGTAACCGAATTCGCGAGAAGTTACAATCAAAGTGTGAGTATAAGAATGGAAGCACAAAATAGCTGTCATTAGCACAGTCAAACAAAAGCACATTAGAACAAACAATGGTACAGTTGGTTATAATAATAATTGTTTTTATTAAACCAGTCGTGTTCTCGTGATAAATGTGAGTCACTACAGTATGCAGCAGATGCACATAGTACATGTCTTCATCGATTAGCTGAAATAGAGAATACGGATATTAGCTTAACAGGCTTATTTAGAAAGACTAGTGTCTACTTTGAACTTACTGAGTGAGTAAAATATACTGGAACTACGAATAATGTAGGAATCTAGTGTCCCAGGGCATACGAAGCACTCGAACTGGAAGACAGTTGTCCAAAAATAATTCGAATATGAAGGCGAAAATTTGCAGGTACTTTTCTTCGTAAGGGTGAACATATTAGGATACCGGTTGACATCATACCGTAAGAAAATACAAATTTGCGAGTGGTGAAATATGATCCATAAAAAAGTGAGCCTAATAACAGTTAATTACCTTTTTACTCCCTGATCACGACCCTTCGGTTTCCTTTTATGGCCAAAACAGTAAACACACAGCACACACTGGTAGCAGATTTCCGGCTTTTCAATGTTAAGCTTGCTTTAACGCACGATGTGATGAGTACAACCCCTCTATTACTGCTATATGGCATATTTTTCATGGCAAACCCCCTGCGATAAATTGGTAGCATCTGTGACTTCATCTGTGGTTATCGGAAGTATGAGTCCTCTCGAAAACAATACTGCTGGGCACTCTGCATTAATTTGACTCGTTGGTGGGATAGTGTTGTCCATATTACTGAAGAAAATTGAAAACTGGAGATTGTTTCCTTTCATTTTGCAGATAACGTCATGAGGGACAGTTAGGAACGAACATGTGGACAGTTAGAGTCACAGGCGGCAGCAACAATTATTTTAGCTAAAAAACGAGCTTCGGCTTTAGATACCTAGAAAACAAGTCAAAACAATATCGATAAGGCTAGCCAGCTTGGCTGAAGAAATGCACTGCCTTCAGTAGCAGCAGCCAAAACCCAAAAAAACAGAGCAAAATTAGGAAAAATTTTGCTCCAACATTCAGAGTATTACACTAAATTATGAATTTTAGCACAGTGAAACGTTAAATTCTGTAGCTACACAAAACAAATATCTGAAAAAGCACAGAACGAAGAAAGCCGACCGCCATTGCTAACAAAGATGGCGGATATAATAATTCCCGCCTCATTCTGACTGGTTGACAAGCTGAAGGCCACCTTTACAAAATTGAGTTGCGTTTAATAGCAGCCCTCCGGACAGATAATTCTCTTCATTCTTCTCGAGTCATACTTTTACACTGTCACTCATTCGCTTATCAGCCTTGACTGTTTTCATGTTAGTGTATGTGTGTGCACTTCTTATCCTACTTATCAGATGTCTGTAATTTATTTTTGTTCAATTAAAACTAAAGTAAATCGAGTTAGCTCACTCGCCCTCTCTTTTATGTGTCATTCATTTTCCCTGTTCTCTCGATTCGTTTCTTTCTCTGCAATCTCTAGTTGTCTGTTCAAATCAAAGTTTGCATGAAATCTACGCGTTTAAACTTTTGTTATTCATTAATGCGAGTTAAGTCGATGATTATATACGAGGGTATCCAGGAAGTATAATAAAGATAACAATAATCATTCATGAAATCAAACTTAATCATATATAAGGCCAAAAAAGCACTATTTCGATAATTTTTAGTACATTAATTCAAATACTTTTAGTTATCAGTGGTGTGATGCGTCGTTATCATATAACTCTCAATCCGTCTCCAAAGAGTTTAATACATTCGGTCAGCTGAGTGAAAAGAATTACCCCAGAAGTTTAAGATGGATACATCATGATGTTTTATCATTAACATCGTCGATGCGAGTCTCGACGAACGAAAGCGTGTGTACTATATCGTAAGTGAGGTTGAACGAAAACATCGGTTGATTGAGGTCGATTGGAAGCAGGTTTAACTGAACGCATTGGGTTTGTAAGCCTGTTCGTGTAGGAGGTTAGATCCATGTTCATTGAAGAGGACGAAGGATCCACGAATTCTCCTGGAAGTCGAAGTGTCGTTCCATAAACGAGTTGAGCCGCAGTATATCCAATGTCAGCTTTTACTGCATTGCGGATACCTAGTAAGACGAGTGGAAGAGCGTCGGACCACTGTGAAACGTTTGCAGCTGAAAGTGAAGCTTTTAGTTGTCGGTGAAAGCGTCCTACCAACCCGTTTGCTTGTGGGTGGTAGTCAGTCGTTCGGAAGCGAGTGATTCCTAAAAGTGTGGTCAGCCGACGGAAAAGTTCAGATTCAAACTGACGTCCGCGGTCTGTGGTGATGGTTGAAGGGTAGCCGAAGTTTGCTACCCATCGTTCGACGAAGGCGCGGGCCACTGTTTCAGCAGTAATGTCTTTGATAGGTACTGCTTCTGGCCATCGAGTGAAACGGTCTACGCAAGTTAAAAGATAAACGTATCCATTCGAATCTGGTAACGGTCCTACCAAATCCAGATGAACATGGTCGAAACGAGCATCGGGAGTTTTAAACGAGCCTATGGAACATTTATTGTGTCTGATAACCTTAGATTTTTGGCAGCTTACACAGGAGCGTTCCCACTTCCTCACATCTTTATTCATGCCACGCCAGCAAAACCGTTCTGCTATAAGCTTGATGGTTGCACGAACACCTGGATGAGAAAGTTTGTGCAATGTGTTGAAGACATTGCGTCAATAATGTTTCGGCACGATTGGACGATCCCTACATGTAGATGTGTCACACAGTAAGGTTTTCTTACCTGTTCCCATCTGTTTGGTGCGTAGTTTAAGGGCTGTGGACGATAACTCGTGCTGAAGATCAGTGTCTTCTTTTTGAAGCTCGGCGAGTTTAAGGAGGTCGATTCCTTGGATACTATTCAAGGAAGTCATGCGAGATAAGGCGTCTGCAACTACATTGTTTACTCCAGAGATGTGTTGAATGTCTGAAGTAAGCTGCGAAATGTAGTCCAGTTTTCACGACTCACGGGGAGAGTAATTGTCTGAAGGAGAGCTTAGGGAGAAGGTGAGTGGTTTATGGTCAGTGAAAAGAGTGAATTCACGACCTTCGATGTAGTGCTGGAAATGCTGTACAGCACAATACATAGCTAGGAGTTCCCTACCGGATGTGCTGTACCTCGATTCAGTGTCTAGCAACCGTCTAGAGAAAAATGCTAAGGGTTGCCATGAGTTGTTAACCCATTGTTGTAAGACTCCTCCGATTGCCGAGTCCGATGCGTCTACTGCGATACTAATGGGTGCTTGAGTGTCCTGATGTGCAAGCATTGCTGCTTTGGCGATGAGTTCCTTAGCTGTGAAGAATGCTTTTCGTGCAATGTTGTCCAGATTGGTGGATTTCGCATTTCCACGAAGTTGGTCGGTCAGAGGTTACATAAGTAATGCGCATTTCGGTATGAAACGTCTATAGAAACTTACGAGGCCGTTAAACGTTCGTAATTGCTTGAAGGTGGTCGGTTCTGGGTAATCCAGATTTGCCGCCACTTTGGTCCTAAGGGGTCGAATGCCTTGAGCATCTATAGTGTGTCCTAGGAAGTCTCATGAGTCGGTTCCGATTCGGCATTTCTGAACGTTTACAGTAATGCCATGTTTTCGTAGTCGTTCGAAAACAAGATCCAGATGCTTGAGATGTGTTTCTCTTTTTGTTTTGGTGTCGACTTGCGATTAGACAGTCGTCAACATATGCATGTACGAAGTTGAGACCTCAAAAAACGTCGTCTATAAACCTTTGGAAGGTTTGAACAGCGTTCCTTAGACCGAAAGGCATTCGCAAAAATTCGTAAAGTCCGAAGAAAGTTATGATAGCTGTTTTCGGAATGTCGTCAGTAGCCATAGGGATTTGGTTATACGCTTTAACCAAGTCGATTTTTGAAAAGACAGTTGTACCTTTCAAAGTAGCTGTCAAATCGTGAATGTGAGGCAAGGGGTAACGATCGGGAATGGTTTTTGCATTCAATCGCCGATAGTCACCAGTTGGACGCTAATCTTTGCTGTCCTTTTTAGGGACCATGTGCAACGGAGATGCATATGGGCTATTTGACGATCGTATGATTCTTAAGTCTATCATGTGATCGAACTCGTTTTTCGCCATTCTTAGCTTTTCAGGAGCTAGTCGTCGTGCTTTAGAGAATACAGGTGGTCTTGTAGTCGTGATGTGATGTGTAACTTTGCTGGTTACACACGGTAGTTTCGGTTGCGTTTGTTGAATCCCAGGATACTTATCGAGTAGCGGTTGATAAAATGGGTTTATCGTATGTTTAATTGTGACTGGGGATACTCTGCAACGAGAAAAAGAAGTTACGCAGACGGATAAATTAGTGTTTCCGTCTACTATCCATGAGTAGATTATGGTGTTGTGGAGGGTCCATATCAATAATTGGCATAGAAACATATGCAACAACGAAGATCCAGTGAATGGGTTTGCGTAAACCCACGTTAAGGTAAACGTACCTCTTGCCATTACGTAGCGATAGGTTTTCCGTTTGCCGCCTGTAAGTTTAAAGCCTATTCGTGAAGTCGGTCGTTGGGATTCGCTGGGTGAACGCTAACTTCTGCGCCAGTGTCGACGAGGTAGCGAACTCTCGTGTTCACATCTGTGACGTACAACAGACGGCTATGTTCGCCGGCTACGGTTGCCTTTAACGCGTGCCGGCTTGGAAGTTTCCCGAGTTGTTTTTCGAGTCAGTCAGTTTCGTGATACCAGCACCAGTCGGGGTTATCCGTCACTCGTGGTCGAGAGACAGATCGCTTACGTGAAATGCTTCTACGTGGGCTGTGTGAGCGATTACGGTCGTTACGAAGATTAAGATAACGCTTTTCTTTGACTGAAAATACCTCGGCAGTAGAAGATTTCGTAATTTCTAAGATACGATCAGCAGATGCAGCCAGTTCGTCTAAGGCGTTATTCTGAAACGAGACCAGAACCGTTCGCCTTGACTACTGCGAGGACTTGTGCACGTGTGTCGTTCACGTCGTGCTCGTGGAAGTCGGCTTCTGCGTAACAGAGCCAGGCTTCGATATTGTCGGGCCAGAAGGGCATGAGTTATAATAATAATAATAATGATTTATTCTCAAATAACAGTTTGTTACATGAGGCATGCCAGTTTACAGGCAAGATCAAATTGATACAAATGACACAATATACACTGTAGTAAATTACATAGCTGGGTTGATAATTTATAAGATATGAATGTAGATGGTTTTAATCAGTACCACAGTTGGCGCGCTTCATGAAAGTTGCGTTGCAAATGTGCGACTGATGGTCAAGGATAGGTCCATTGAAGGTATGAGCTTCTAAAAATCGCAACCTTATGTCCCTTTGGAATATCCAAGGCTTTAAAAATGGTGCAGGATGAAGTCACCCGTTCCATATCTCAAGGGGGCTGAAAGAGGGAGCAAGTAAAAGAAAAAACGAGAGGCAGAGTAGCCAATATTCATGAAGGAATGTTTAAGGTATGATTACTCAGTCTAATTTTCTTTTATTAAGGTATTTGTTAAGAAAGAGCATTTTAATAGGTTAAAGAAAATAAGTGTTAACAAGGTGTGAGTGGACATACAACTGACAAATGGAGGCGATTCGGAAAGGAGCTGAGAGTATGGGATTATGTGTGATTATAAAATAAAAGATAGTGCTAGAAACAGTATTGTGATATACAATTGGCTATCTTCCTTTTATTATCGAAGCTATTAGAGCCCCTTTCGTTTTTTTGTATTATTATTTTTTTCAGGTATTATAGGGTCTTGAGTAGGCTTCGTATATTAGCGAATTGTCTAGTTTGCTTGTAATAGGATTTCTGGGTAGGAAGTGAAACCAATTCAACGTTCGTAACACGATTTAAAGAGGTATTTTGCGTGATAAATCAGCATCAATACCATAAGTTCGTGACATCCCACTAAACCATAAGGAGCCGTAATTAAACAAAATGTTCTGCCCTACAGACATGGGTGGATTGAAGTTATCTCCCCACCTTCATGTTTGCTGGTCAGTAACGCCACCCTCCCTCCTTTTGTGATGTTAGGCTCTCTTACGTTTGTGGTAAGTATGAATACTGCTTTAATCAAAGCCCATAGTTGGAATACACTGTCTCTACTAGGTCCATGTTACAAGCAAATCAGATAGTTGAAAAGTCTTTTATGGGTTAGATGTCCATATAGTATATCACACTGCTATGAAAATAACTAATGGTTTAAAGAAGTAAGGACTAATAGCAAATCAAAAGATATGAGAGGGTATAAAATTGTAGAAAAAAAAGATTTCAGGGTAAGACAAATAAAACATTGAGAAACTCACAAGACTTTGTGGCCAAATTTTGAGCTTTGTATGATCGGCCTTAGTAGATCAGCATCCATAAGATTGAGCTATCTGTCTACTTGCAGTAGAAAAAAAAGCATGACTTTTAGGAAGAATAATGTACATTTAACCTGTAGAGATTTGGGGACTGAAAGCTAGGGTTAGGAGCATGAAGTCATGATTAATAAACAATGAATAATAGGAAAGGATAAGCCATATATTCTGTGATTTGGTTATATTCATATTAGTAACAGTCGAACTTGTTATAATTTTGTTCTTTCTAGATACTAGGCGGTCCGTAATAAAGTGCCTCATTGGTGGGCGGGAGTTCAAGGAAATGTTGAAGCTCTTTGGAGTCTAGAAATAGGGTTATTAGCTTTTTGAATCTGGTAAACGTATCACAGTTACGGATAGGCATTGGCAGCCTGTTCCACAATAAACTGTACCGTACTGTAAAAAACTTACAACGCATTTGTTTTTGGTGTTTTACGGTAAGTAGTGTATATGCGTTGTTTCTAAGTCTATAGGCTGGGTCGTGGGTGATAGTCGGGCAGGAGGTTAGAAAGGAGAGCCCATATATCGCTTTGTAGAGAAATATTAAATTGTTTTTTAGCCTACGGTGCCATAAAGGTTCTAAAGATAGATGCTTACATCTGTCTGTGTAATCGAGATTCGAGTTACATCCTAGTAGTTGACGTGTGAAACGTCTTTGAACATCTTCTACTCTTATCTTGTCTGCGATATTCATATTAGAGAAGACAAAAGAGCAGTATTCAAGGGAGGGTCGTACACATATTTTGTAGAGAGTAAGTTTACCCTCTGTTGTGAAAAAGTTTTTCATTATAAAACCAATTAGCCGTCTAGATTTAGAAATAATAGAGGAGGCATGTTCTTCAAAGTTTAGGCTTCCTGTGTAATTAATTCCTAAATCGTGTACTGATTCGAGTGTTTGGACTCTACATTCATTTAAGTGAAGTCGCGGTTTATAGGGATGCTTTCCAAAGTGCATGATCCCGCACTTGTTGAGGTTAAATGGTAATTGCCATTTTTCACTCCATATAGTTAAGTTATTGAGGTCCTTTTGGATCTGGGATACACTTTCGCTTAGTGTCTCAGGCTTATAGCTGTATACTATTTTGAGATCATCAGCATATAAGTATGGTTTCCCAAATTCTATGGTGTTACATATATCGTTTATATACATAAGAAACAAAAGTGGACCTAATACGCTTCCCTGGATGACTCCACTGGTGATTGGTCTAGGGGACGAGAGACAGTCATTGTACTTTACCATCTGTTTACGTTCTGTTAAGAACGAAGCAAACCATGAGTACAGTGGGTTGTGTATTCCGAAGGACTTTAGTTTGACGAGTAGCCTTTTGTGTGGGACCTTATCAAAGGCTTTCTTAAAGTCTAGGAATAGGACTGATACAAGGAGTCCGCTGTCTCGTTTCAGAGTTATATCATTCAGGTAGTCTACTAGGCATGTATCGCATGATCTGGACCTAAGAAATCCATGCTGGGAGGTCGAGATGAGATTATTAGTTAGTAGATGTTGGACTACAGCCGCCTTAACTACTTTTTCCATCACTCTGGATACCACTGAAGTTATGTTTATAGGCCGGTAATTTTCAACGTTTGCTTCAGGTCCTGTTTTAATTTTGGGAATGATATGTGTAGTTTTCCAGGCAGTAGGGTAACACGCTGAAGAGAGTGATATCGCGAATAGTTTGAGAAGCAAAACACACATATCATCACCTCCACGTTTTAGCATGCTAGATGGAATACCATCTGGTCCATCAGTGTAGGAGTGTTTCAATGTACTGATTGCCTTGGAGATATTTTGTACACTGAATTCTACATTAGTAATTTCACAGGGAGTTACTGGGATTGGTTCTGAATCATTAAATGGTTTTTCGTTAGTTAGTGAGAAACAAAAATGTTCACTAAATAATTCTGTGATAAGTTTGGGATCTTCGTATACTTGTTTGCCTTTAATGAATATACTCCCTCTCGATTTAGAGCGTTTAAGTTTATTTTGGAGTAGTATGGTGAGTGCAGAGGAGTTATTATTAAGTTCAACTGCACGTTTTTCCTGTGCTACTGCTTTTTGTTTACTTATTGCCTCTGTTCGGACAAGTATTTCTGTCATCGTTACTAAAGAGGAAAAGTCATTTAAGTTGTGGAATCGAGTACAATGTCTTTGAAGACGTCTTCTTGTACTGACCGGTATATAGAGATCTTTGGAGAACGTAGGTTTACAGTATTCTAAAGGTGCGATGTTGTTGATGATACTTTTGATGTTGTGATAAAATATATTGGTTAATGTGTCGGTATTGTTTGAGGTAAAGAAAGTTCTCCAATCAGTGCTTCTTAGGTAATTGTGGAAGTTATTCCAATCAACCTTGCGATAGTTTCTACGAAGTGTTACGGTTTTACTTCTATCGGTTGTGGTTTTTACATTAAGGCTGCATATGACAATGTTATGATCACTACCTGGGAACTTTTTTCCAATATACAAAGTATTGGGGATGAGGCCACTGGTAAAGACTAAGTCTAAGATGTTTTGATGTCTGGTAGGGCTATCGACATACTGAGTCCATTGTCCAAGCTCTAGACATTCAATAAATGATTCATAACGTCTCGGCGCTTTGACTGGCAGCCAAGAAATTTCGGGCATATTGAAGTCACCACAAATGAGCTTGCCTGTGAATGAGAGGGATGATGCTAGTGTGAATACCTCCGATAATACTGCTATTTCATCTATTGATGCGTTAGGTTGACGATAAACACAGCCGAGCAGTAAGGTAACGGAATTCGACGGCTTTAATACAATCCACACCGAATCCTTCAGTTTGTTTAGTTCAGGCATATCACATAGCAGTGAGTTTAGGCTAGAGTGAGCGTAAATAAGGCATCCTCCGCCTCGTCCATTCAATCTATCGCTTCTATATAGGGAATAGTTATCAAGAGATATACTTCGGTCGGAAATATTACTGTTAGTCCATGCTTCAGATATCATAATAACTGATGGTTGATATATGGATACAAACAGGGCTAAATCCGTCTTTTTGTTGCAGATCGATCGAGCGTTGATAAGACATATATTAAGCAAGTGGCCTACTAAGTTAAAATGGGTGAGGGTATCTCGGATAAAGTCGTCGTAACCCTCGCGGTGTGAGATGAGTTTGATGTGAGGGATTGGATGTTCTTCATTAGCTCGGTATTTTGATAGCTAGACTTATTGGGAGATGTATCAAATGAGCTAGTGAAGTTGATTGGGGAGTTTACCCAGGAGGAAAGGGTGGGAGTACTCTGTGATGGAAACTGTACGGAGGAAACAAATTTATGGTTTGCATGTGGTTTGAAATAACCTGGGCTATATGCTTCAACAGAGGTGTCACTAGGGGTCTTATTCCAAAAAAATCTTGTACAGGCCTACTGTGAAGTGTATGGTTATTTACAAAATAGTCTTGATGGTTAGACTCGTAGCCCCTGTTATGGCTATTTACGTTAGCGTGAGAGGGGTCTGCTACGCGTAACTGGGAGGAGTTGCGACTGTTGTTATACATGGGAGCCGTTGTTATGTGATGGGTCGGTACTAAAGGGTGTGAGAAGTTTTCTTTCTGAGAGTAATTACAGTTGCGATCCTGGGGAATGTAGGTAGGGTGTGGAGTGAGAAACCTATTATTACCATTCTTATTTATGGTTTTAGGCTTCAAGGGGTGATTTGGGTGGCCAGTTCTCTGGTAGTTTTCGTTAGTCTGCGTGTAAGAAGGCTTGCTACGTTGAAGCCCACCACCCTTTTTGCAACTTGGAGGTGTTGAAGGCAAGTTATACGATAGCAGCGGGGAGAACCTGTTCACTGTTCTTGGGATACCTATAGAGCAGTTGGGTTCAATCTTACGTGTTTCCCTATTCGGTATCATGAGTTTTGTCTTCCCACCCCTTGGAACGAAGGTGGGGATATGGTCTTAATCTTAAATACCTTAGGAGTCTGCTCAGTCATAGGGGAATATTAAGTACGAGAATACAAGGGAAAAATATATAGATATCCTGAAACACAGGGGGAAAATATCACAATGTTTAGAAAAATAAAAATTAAGGCAATAATATATAAAAAAAATTCCCAAAAAGGAACAGACTCACAGTTGCAATTCGGTGTACCAGATCACGTCGGGCTCACGAATGATTAATGACACAGGTATTCAGTGTTTGACAACGCTTCTACCAGTAACACCTAATATAATTCGTAACCACCCAGAGAAATCAAAAGACAGAGTCGACGAGATCGGAAGAGTGTATTTGGCGATTACCAACATATCGGAATTTTCTGATCTAATCTCGCTAGCGATTGCGATAGATGTTGAGCACAGCGTTACCACACGTAAACTGGTGCGGATGCCTGAACGAGCGCCTTCAGCTAGATGAGTCCACTAAAACATATGGTCAGCATCCAATGTCGAAAACTTAGAGCTGTTTATTTTGTGGATTTATTTACCGCTACAGGCATTTTCTAGTACCATAATCACTTGCTAACTCTGATGATTGCATGAACTAATGTTTCCTTTGTGTTCGATGTCTTTCTGATTTTGAATCCCAAATACAGAACGTTCGTTCGTGCCCACCTAGTTCTTCCTGGTTTAAATTGCGATGTTTCTGGGATTCCTAATTCGTTTGGTAGTTCAAATACTTCTACTCATCATATTGGCGACACGATGGAACCTGTGACAGAATAGATGAACATACACAGAAATTCCGAAGCGTTTAAAGATTTTATAGAAATATTCTAAATTTGGAGCATGACCAAGAAAGATGTGAAGGTTGATAAAACTGTCGCTTACTTCCTCACATTGATTGGAAAAGAAGCCTACAGTTTATTAAAAACGGTGGCATTTCCAGAAAAGCCTATGTCTCTTTACTTCAGGGAACTACTATGAAATCATGTATAGTGCACCAGTTTTGGATGTCGTGAGTCAGTGGAATTACACAGGATGATTCGTCAGAATAAGCAGAGGGTTAGGAAATTCATCCTTGGATCTCAAACACAAGCTTAGAAGTGCAATTTCGATGATCAACTTCATGCAGCTGAGGGATCGACTGATCGCAAGACCTAGCACACAATACCTGGAAAGAGTGCTGTTAAAATGCCGAACTGTTCTTTCCAAGATGATAGAACTGCATGTGTCAACTATGTGACAGTGAATGAACTTGATAACCAGTCGGTGAGAATTTCCAATACTTTGCTCAGTCGTGATGAAGAAATACACTGTCATGGTCAATCAAACTCGCGTTTGCTTAATAGTGATTCCTATTGTCGTGAAAATATGGAAGGCGATTCAACAAGGAGTTGCAAAGCAGACCACAACGGTGAGCACGTGTTTTGTAAATGTTTACTCTGGGAAATTTCACTCGAGTATTTCATGTTCATTTCGTATTGCTAAATGTTTTAAATGTGGTAAGATATGACTAATTTAGTCAGTATGCAAATGTTATCTTGATTTTTCTGCAAGTAATACTAAAGCTTTTAATTTAGATCCCATTATTCAGGGTGTCCTTAATGATCCTTTGTCTTTATCCACCATTTCGAAGAGCAATGTTCATATACTAAGGTGATAATATATACATATATATCTTGTTTCATTTCATGACATTACTATTGACACAATCAGTGTAGAGTCCATTATTTCATTCAAGAACTTGAAATCTTTGGATCCTAATGTTGTGGTAACACCCACTGAAGTCTCAATATTGGGGATTACTGGACGCAAACTGTCGACACGAGAATGCTGCGACTTGTTAATTAAAGATGATTATTCTTCATACATGCCTTGTGAACTTTTAGTTAGCGAAACGGGATTGTCCATACTGGGTTTAAAAAATTGAAAAGGCTTAAAGTGGAGTTGTCTTTACCAGTTTCTGAGGAAACCTCTGGTACTTTACCTCAAGATTTGATAGCTGCGTGTGCACAGTGCAGTGCAGCGATGGGAATTCAGCCACATAAAACTTCAAGTAAATGGTGACCCAGTCTTTCTTATACGACGAGTAACTCCTTATGGTTTTCGAAAAACAGTAAATAAGACATTAAAGGATTTGTGTGCTAAGGTTATAATTGAACCGATTCAAACTATAGATCAACACTGAACTCCCATTTGTTGGAGCAAACATGCACGACGGTGGAAGTTGAAGATATTCGTCATGGATTTTATGGTTCTAAAGTGTTTCCGAAAGTTGACTTTAAAAATGCTTTTCTTCAAATCGTTTTAGGTCAATCTTCATCTATTTTGACGATAATTAGCACTCCTTGTGGCCTACTCAAACTCCATTTCCTTCCGTTCTGTGTAGGTTGTTCTCTATCCACACCAGGTAGTGATTAATATGGTATTCAGTGGTCTTGAAGGTGTTGGAGTTGGTCAAGGTGGTTTCATTGTTCGTGGTTCTGACAAGGTAGTTCGTGACCGGACACTTATTGCTTTTTTGGCGTCGTCTAGTTGAGAATATTACAGTGAATCCAAATAAGTGTTCATTTTGTGTATCTAGTTTTGAATGTCTTGGATACCTAGTTGATAGTAATGGTTTGAGACCAGATATGAAACAACTAGCTCCACTGACAAATGCACCATTTCAGAAAAATCTTACAGATTCACATTCACTAGTGGGTGATCTTCAATATTATTCACGTTTTATCTCTGATTTTTCTCGTTATGCCAATTGTTTACTCATTATTTTGATATCCAATACGTTTAAACGGGGTCAGCAACAAGAGTCATGCTTACGAAGGCTACTGAAGTTTCTTCAAAGTGATGCTATTCCTCGAACATACTCCCCAGTGTACATTCTGTACTTATCACTGGCGCATCACCTGTGGGTATTGGCACGGTTTTGGGATAGGAATTTAGACCAGTTATCTGTGTTTCAAGCGCAATTAGTGTTGATAAGCAAAGTTATTCGCAATCTCAGCGAGAAGCACTGGTTGTGTTTTGGGCCGTCAAAAGACTTCATTAATATTTATTTGGAAAGAAGTTGACTATTGTTACAGATCATGAAGCTTTAATGTTCATTTATCATCCTGAAAACTCCATTGCACGTCCGTCATCTGCCATGGTTCAACGATGGAGTATTGCTTTGAGTGCCTATGACTATACGATTCATCAAAGAGGTGCCAAATAAGCTCAATGAGTTGACTATATTTATCGGCAATCATTACAACGTAGATCTGTCAACACTTCAAACAGTTTGTTATTGCGATCTTTACTAGTGAGACATCAAGATATCTTCAAATAAACCCGTCGATACTTTGGATGTGTACTCAGTGCCACACGAAAATGTTGGAATGCTAATATGACACGTAGATTTCCCGCTTGTTTTTCAAGGCGGTATGCGCTCACTACTACTCCAGATGGTGTTCTGTGTCTTAATGATATTTTTGTTGTTGTTTCTTCATTAAGTGAATCTGTTCATGAAGATCGTCATAGTGGATATTTGGGTGTTGACAAAATGAAGTTCCTGGCAAAGCTCACATGTTGGTGGCCGGAGATAAATGCGGATATATGTCGTACGGCAAACGATTTTGGAAAGTGTTATAAGTTGAAAAGTCTCTCTTCGAATTGGACTCCATGATCAGTATTATCTGATGCCTGGCAGAGAATTCATGCGAACTACTGTGGTTCATTTCTTGGCAGATACTATGCACATGTTGTTATTGATTCGTTTCCGAATTGGCCTGAATTTTTTCACAACTTCACCAAATTTGGAATTAACAATCCGAGCATTAAGAAGGGTATTTAGTCGAGATGGGATTCCCATGGTGTTAGTGACTGATAATGGCTCTCACTATGCTGCGTATGCAATTTTCGCGCCAGTAGGTAACAACCGTCCTATTGAAAGAAGAAACCATACTAGTAGTGAATAGGTCTTTATTTTCTCGTGAAACGAGTACACGGTGGAGGGGAGGTTACTCGTTTGAACACACGTTTTTCAACAATCAATATAAGACAATGGCAAATATAATGCCTGTACAAAATAATGAATTGAATGAATAGTTAATCTCTATTGTTTTGACAAATACTTAGTTGTTTGAGGTCAACGCTTAACCAATCAACCTCAGCTGTTAAATTAGCTTTCTACTAGAATCGGTTTCCATAGGAACGTCTGTTCGATTAATCTATCTATCAAAAAACACCTTAGTTCTGCTTCCGCAGCTAACATCACTCACTTTAGTCGAAGATTCTTCGTTCTTTTGTAACTTACCCCTTTTTATATGTATTCGCCTTATATTACTCATCGTGTGTTTACGGGTAAAAAGTTTATGTATTCAGCAATAAAAAATGAATATAACGCTAATGTATCAAGAGTAAAAAATCTAAGGAGTGTGGATAGCATAATATTGCAGACTACGTTTTCTTGGTAATGTTTTTGCTGATTAAATAAAATAGGTGATGGGGTATGAAAAGCCAAACCCTTTACTCTGTTCGACAGTTATTGCGTCTTCGATGTCACGCTCGGCTACACCTCATTTCCAGGATTCTTTGTGGTTTGCGTATACCACACTATTATGTTTTTACACCGCGGCTTTGTTGAGGTTGTAGCCAGAACACACTGTTACAGTTGAGCCAGACGTTGAAGCAGTTAAAGTATTGTTGTTTCTAAGTCACGTTTGCAAATGTTTTGTGACACTGTGGTATGGTATGAATAAGGTATATAATTTATTTGCTCGAAGGTCAGACGACAAAAACTGAGTTTCTTTCACAATTGATATTGGGCAATATGTGATTATAGTCCCCAGACTATCCATAAATGACACCAAATTCCTAAAATAGCTAGATATGGGCAAAACGGACTGTAGCAGCCGATTTTTGAAAAACTAATCACGTGGTTCCTGACAAATTTATTGTTCTTGCATGTGTTTTTATCGCTCAATACTTATGCCATGTAAAATCTTAATATATTATGGATATTCGATTGTCATTAACACTCATCTAATTAAGGAGCACAAGCCAGTCAAACTTGAAGTTGCGAATGAAGGAGTCTAAGGATATATTCGGAAAACTGTTGACGCTTCGAGATGTATATAACTTAAGCGGCTTAATTGTTGCAATGGATAAGAAATAGGGCGTACTCAACAATGATCTAATATGGATGCTTGCACGAGAGGATTCAGCCAGAGTGCACTCAGTAAAACTTATGAAGTCCGTATCAAAGCTGAAGGCCTATAGACGTACCTATTTTGAGGATTTATTTAACTTGTGGTGGGCCAAAAATTATAGTAACTCAAAAATGATAAGGTATTGCATTAATGTTTTAATATATTAAATATAATTTAGAAACACAAGAAAAAGTTACGGATTGTTACTTAAATTGACAGGCCTTGGCGTGTTTGAGCCGCATTTGGTGTAATAATCCACAATTACGGGTGATTAATTATTCTAATGAAATTTGTTATAATTCTAGCTTTAAAGCCAGATGGATATTTAATGAAAATATGATTGTGGTCTATGAATGTAGATGACATATATTTTAGAGTTCAGTTATCGTAGCAACAGGCAATGGAGAACAAGCGATGTGTGTTTGTAGCACTATTTGTGAACGGTTATATGTGTGTCAGGATTCAATTAAACGTAACTCCATTTCGTAAACGTGGCAGTCTGCTTAGTGACCAATCAGAATGAAGCGATAATAATTATATACGACATTTTTGTGGGCAACGGCGGTCGGCTTTCCTCGTTCTGTGTTTTTTCAGCTATTTCTTTTGTGTAACCACATAATTTAATGATTCAGTATGCCAAAATACCGCAGTTAGTGTAATATTCTAAACGTTGGCGCAAAGTTTCTTCGATTTGGCATTGTCTTCTGGGTTTTTGCTGCTGCTACTCAAGTCAATGTATTTCTTCAGGCAAGCTGGCTAGTCTTATACTATAAAATGTTAATCTGTTTTGTCTTGGATATTATTTTCAGGTACTGAGAGCCGAAGCTAGTTTTTTTAGCTAAGATAAGTGTTGTCGTCAAATGGGACTCTAACTGTCCGCAGATTTGTTCCTAACTGTTATTTGTTATGTTATCGGGTGGAAGAGTGATAATGTGCGGAACCATTGATATGCTGACAAAATGTTTGAATGTTTATTTTCATTTATAATTAATAATTAGCTGTCGAGAATTCACTTGTCTGTTACTGCGACAATTTTAAAAAATGTGACAAAACGATTAGTTATGGAAAAAATATAATTAACTGTATACACTTTGTGCGGAAAAATAGCAGTTTTTACTGCAAAAGCGAATGAATTTAATAGTGTATTATGTATCAATGATTATTTGTTACGATTCGTTATTCAGCAAAATGAAATTAACGCTTGGGCTTCTTTACGGTTCTGCCTGAGAGTGTTAAACATGTAGGATTACTGCTTGTTTTTTTGTCTTCCTCTAATCTCGTAATAAATAATGGCAGAGGCTGTTTGTCCGTGGTAGTATTTTCTTGTCTTGCTGGTCTTTGCAGAAAGCTCGTTTAATTCTGTCCATAGAGACAGTTTCTTTCTTTTTATTTCTGTTAATGAGGAAGTGTTTATTTGTCCGTCTAATCACCTGATAAGATCCTTCGTACGGTTGCTTTAGCGACTCGAATGGAGATGAATTCACACGTTTGCAGTTGTTTATCGAGCTGTACGCGATTGTAATGCTCGCGCGAAGCATTGCTTAACATTTTGCATAGTTTGCAAGTGGTGGCTCTCAAAGCGGGTTGGATCAGTTGACATTGTTGTATCAGGGTCGACTAGTTGACCCGGTATTGTTAAGGTTGTACCATAGACTAGTTCGGCTTATGTGCGACCATTATATTCTTTGATAGTTAAATGAATTCCAAGTAGTACAGTTGGTAGTGCGTCACTCCAATGTATCAGATTGCGCCACCAGTAAGCTTTTCATTTGGCGGTGAATTTTCTCAACCAGCGAATTAGCTACTGAATGGTAAGATGTTGTTTTGATATGGTTCACTTCCAGAAGCCTGGTTGCGGCACTGATGATGGGGTGTGAGAGTCCATATAGACGTTGAAATATCCTTCGTCGATAAGCTTTGCTAAAAAGGACTGTTACTAGTTGAAGCATCTCAGACAATAGATGAATCAGAGAAAGGAATAGGCATAGGTTTGAAAATCATGTTGTACTTCTCTTTGAAGGTTTTTAGTTCTGCACCCTATACTTATAATTTAGCTGTGGTTTTGAGGTTAATATTCTGTTTATGTACAAGCATATTGATATCCATTCGAGAAAAAGTGTCGGTTACGATATTAAAATGCCCTTTTGATGAACTGGATATTTAATGTGAATTGTGCTTCGCGTGGTAAATGTCGGAAGTATGACGTGTTAAGGGAATAATATAAGGGTTTATGATCAGTCATTATCGTAAATTCACGTTCTTGTAACAGGAAGGTGAAATGTTTTGTTGCTAAATAAACAGCTAGTAACTCACATCCAAAGGTGCTGTAACGTTCCTGAGCTGACGAGAGTCGTTTAGTGAAGAACGCTTTATGTGTAATAATGTCGTTTACTCGTTGTTGTGATGCCGCACCTACAGCTTTCTGAGATGTATGAGTGCAGAAATTTGGTGTGTTTTGGGTTCAGAATTTAAGTGTTGCAATATAGTAGCATTTGGCATCATAACTTTGCTTTATCAAAAGCAGTTTTGAATAGAGCAGTAACGTGAAGACATCGTCTTTTTAACTTTGTTTCTTTTTTATCCTGTTTCAAAAGATCTGTTAGAGGTTGTAAAGTTGCTGCGCAATTAGGTAAGAAACGACTGTAAAAATTGGAAATATCAAGGGACAAACGTTGTGATTTTATTGAATTTGGCCCTGCGTAATCGATAATAGCTTCTACTTTTTCTTGTAGTGGTGTGATACCATGTGAGTCGATGTGGTGTCCCAGAAACTCTACGAACTCCACGAACCTCTACGAAACGATTATTTGATCGATTAGTCTGGAAGACTTCTTTAATGCAGGCACTTAATTGCCTAGTGGAATTTCATTCATATTCTAGTAGATATTCTTCTGTAAATATCACTGATGTCAGTTTTGAGACTAAACATATGATATGACTAGAAATCTACAAAATGTATTAGGAACTAATAAGCACATTTGCACTTCAATCTTTTCTGTTGAACATCTTATGGCGATGATGATACGTTGGCTGAGTAGAAAAACGGGAGAAGGAAGAAGTGGCAAAATGCCTTTGTCTGCTCTCAAATTTGACATAATAATTATCAAATCATTGCTAAATAATGCTTCGGAAATAAGGTTATTTTTCTAATAGTGACCCTCACACTGATCCTAGCTATCGTTCTGGTACAATGTTTAGTTCTATAAACAGGCATGAGTTACGGTTTGTTAAAGTATTTCAAAACGATTAATACAGTACATGTGCAGAAAAGCGGTAACATGAAGAAATGGTTGTTTGTAAAAACAAAAGGGGTAAGTTCACATTAACCATATACATTTAATCAAGTTAGCTACAATTTTCCTATTTTCAAATAAAACGTGGTGCATTTTCCGGTGATCTAAGACTTATAATTTCCGTACAACTTGGTACAGTGAATGTACCCAATCCCTTGATTTTGTGGAAAATCTTATCAGTTTTGGCTTATATATAAGGCTGATATATTTGACAAACTGGACATTGTTGATACCCAGTCCTCATTTTAAATTTTGAAATCGTATTGAATACGTTTGATGATGGGCTTTAGTTGTTCTCCCATACTGGGGTTACTTCAAGACATACTATTTGTCGAAACACTGACTGAAACTAAGTATTTTCTTTTCTACCTATAAAATATTTGGTGGAAGATTAATCCTGTTATTAGATTTGTATTTTAGGGACGAACCTTTTATTTTGCGCAAGTTTCTTTAACCGACTTCTCATGAAAGATCAGTTTACATAATAATGACAAGTTATTCAGATTTTTAGTGTTGATATATCCCCACACTTTCACATTTTCCCAACAGGACAATTATTGATGGGACGAAGATTTACGGAAAAAATAAATCAAATCCAGGTTTAAATTAAACTCATTATAGCTGATGTCATTTCGTGTCAAAAACACTAGCTCTCATTTTCAACTCTCACTACCGCTCTAAATATTAACCCTAATATCTCACACTGGTTTTTAACACCTCGAACCCTAGCAAATGGTTACACTCAAAGGTTACTTCAGCATCGCTCAAAGGTAGCCCATAAATTAAACTCCCACCCGTTTATTTCCAACCATATTCATCTAAACTTAGTCATATTTCTCTAATATTCCGGCACCAATTAATGCGATATCACCCATTTACAATTTAAGTTATGCGGGTGACACGTTATAACAAGAGTGTACAACATCAGTATGCTCATTATATTTCTAAACCATATTAAGGAGAAAAACCAGCCTGTTGTTCTCTGGTTTCTTCTTGTACTCCTAGATGAATACAACAGCTTACCAGAGATAAACGATGAGTCTGAAAGTTATAAAATGCGGATTTATCGGTTTCCTTTTGAGAATATAGACTTAATACTAAATACTCTATTTATCAAGCCTTTGGTAATTCTTAATGATCTTTCAGTTCTTCATTGTCTGATGTTGGGTCTATATAGATCTTTATGTTAAATGATCTGCCTTGTTCAGAAGACGTTTTTGCAACCGCCGTAAATTCTAGAATGATTTGTTTTTTTTATGCTTCATATTTATCCATAAACTCATTGGTCTAGCTTTACATTTCAAATCTTAAGACCGAATATGACCTACAGTTCTACAAAGTATTCTCGGAAGTAGTCTGGCAGTAATATGTTCAACCAAATTCGTTATCATGTTTATTATGATACTAAGTGGGGAATGTTGATAAATTAGTGTTATACATAAGCGTCGGTTGTTTGCAAAAAAACTGTACTTGATATGTACGCCAGATTCCACAGACGTTTTATCAACCAATGGTTATGAAATCGTAATTACTTGACAAATCCTTCAATTTTGGAGTACCGGTTGTGATTTGTGTGGGTATTTCCAAAGTCTGTCTCGTAATTAGTTTTCGATTTACTAATTTTACAATAGTTTTGATTACGTGCACAGGGACGAAGTAAATATAAAGTTGAAATCATTGATCTGATAAATAAGGTAAGGTCTATTGCAACCAAAGGAAGCGGGCTATAAATGAACTCAGTTCTCACCCGTGAAAGCTCAACTATATTAAATTATAAACTGTGGTCCCAGATTTTCCGTAAGCTTTGAAATATGCACGGATGTAAAGAATCAAAAATTTGTTATTTTTTTATTACGAGTATAGAAGATAATTATTTCTTGAATAGAGATGAGGTTGCTTGAGGCCAAGTGGTTGGTCAAGTATGTCAACTTTTTTGATCACGTGGCTTATTCACGATTCTAGAAATTTCGCTGGTAGGAATGTCACTCATTACGTTAGAAAACAAGTGTGGTTTGATTTTCGGAAGCTTAGAAGTGTAGGATTAGTTCTTATAATCCTTTCGTATACTGAATACATTATTGCCATCTAGCTTGTCACTCATAATGAACCCCATTCTGGTTACTGATTAAGATTGATCATGCACGGTTTCATCAATTTTTACGTTGATTGCATGTAAATATTCATCTGGTATTTCCTTATTTAGAAACAAGCAGTAATTTATGTGCCCTGCTTATCTGACAGATAGTTGTGCAATTTTTTTTTACCTGAATATGATAAGGTTACCTTTTAACCGTTGAATTTTTCGGATTTTAGGCAAAATATTAAAGAGCAGGTGTAACAGGTTTCACATTACACATGACTGATCAACTCATTAAAGCGAATCGCCTGGAAATTTCTATAAATACTAAAGATTTTTACTAAGGAAGGGTGTTAGCGTTACGCAGTTTAAGAACTAACATAATTATCTAATCATTCAGACAGGTTAAGTGACTGCGAAATTTATGTCACCGTAATTTGGAATTCTATGATTCTATTCACCCAAGAGATTTTAATTTCTCAGGTTTTTTAAAACTAAATTTTTGGGATGACGACTCAAGCTTCCCAGAAAACAGTGTAATTGCGAGAAGTGTATCAATAGTCGTAAGGAAGGCTATAAAATATAACTAAATACGACAATAGTGCCACTAGTTGATTTCGATTGAAATCACAAAAAAATCTGAAGTCAAATTCATTATAGAAGCTATCTTTGTGCATTGTGTGTAAAAAAAACTATACCGGCTCGATTTGTAGCATACATTTTCTGTTATGTTCATTATAAATGAAGTTTCTTTGAAGCCTATGGAAATATGTTTCATGAAAATAAGTACTTTCTGGAACTGACTATACGTCATTATATAAAAATCAAAGAAGTGTGATTAAGGTGCGGTATAAACTGTGAACCTAGTTATTTCTAGAAAGCTGGAAAACATAAATCATGATCTGCAGCCAGAAAGTTTATGAAGACTTATCAGTAAGATTAGGATAACAATACTTATAGGTATTCAAAGTCTAATTTAATTAATTATTTCATATCTGTGCTACAAAACTGCACATTTTTACCCAGACGTTATGTGATTTTTGCTGCAACATTATTTGAAAACTTCAAATGTTGAAGTTGGTGGACAGTGACTTTTCAAATAGCTTTGCTTCCGGGACAAATTGAATGATACTTTAAGACGTTAAACAGTATCTTCAGTTTTCATTACTAACTGAACACGTCAAAGATGTTTATAGAATATGGGTGTGGTATGAGGTGTTGTACATATTGATGATATTTTCATACAATATAACTGCAAATTAACAACAAGAAGGCGGAATTTTTCGGAGCGAAAACGAATATTCTTCAAAGCTATCTACAGTCAGCCAGGTTCTTATAAAGTTCATTTTTAGTGTTGGCTGGCAGTAACTACACATTAAGAGATACGTATACAGTAGTGTAAAGTTGTCATACTTCAATATTTACCTACGGTTTTGAAGTTTGACGGCGTATTTCTTAAGTACAGACTATTGCGTTTTCTTTAAACTAATGGAAATTTGTAACTACCCATCGCGTCATATTTGATAGCACTGAATTTATATATTGTAACTATAACATGTACTTTTGTTTTATGTTTTTATAGATGCACATCTAGCTTTAAATCAAATAACAAACTACCGTAACCGCTTAGACAATGAAAAAGATGGTTTACTCGTCCAAGCTCTTAATCGGTTGATGAATGTGTTTCAAAGTAGACTGTTTTTGGGTCTACTTGGTAGGTTAAAGTATAATTTTTATTCTGCAAGACGTATGATTGTTTAATTAATTAATTACAAAATATTCGTTATCGGAATTTTGTTATAAGAACTTCCAGTTCTAACCGTTATTATCGTTAGGGTCTCTTAGCAAAAATATTATGTCATTGAACAGTTTTATTTGTTAATTAAATATTGAATATTATCAAAGATTTAATTTCTGTTGAGCAATCTTATTGGTAATTTTTTAAAATATGCACGCCGTGATATAAGGGTAATATTCGAATTCACAACAATTGTATGAACAGATTTTCCAAAACAAATTGTAAATTATTAAGAAATTATCTCAAGATCACGAAAATATATTTATTGTTAATCCCTTGAAAAGTTTTGAAACCAATACTTCCTTCATGGGTCAATTATTTTCGTCGTTATTTGGGTTATTTTTGTCCTTTCTGGTTAGAGTCCTGTAGATGAATTGTATTCTCTTGACCACATCTCCTCTACTGTCAAATGTTTATAGATTCAACAGTTAATCGTAAGGAATCAAGTAAACATAACATAGAATAAATTCACTTGGTATTCTTTGCTTGAATCTTCCCATTGATTTTTAGGACTGTAATTGATCAGTCTCTTATTGGTATATGTGCATACCCTACGTATTGCCCCGATATTGTCTTAATTCACGAGCCTTATAAGCAAAAATGGATGGTGGCCAGCAGTGGAATCCAGGACGCGTGTTTCCTTTTGGGACTCGTCATCTGGACGTGCCTGCATCCCAGAGTTGATGTTCACCTTGAGGCTCGAACCCAGTACCGTTTGCTTCAAATTCCATCGCTTAAGACTTAAAGTAATGACGAGATAATCCGTACAGGATACAAATATGCCAATAAGAGACTGATCAATTTCAGTCCTAAAACATCAATGGGAAGATTCAAGTAAACAGTACGAAATGAATTTAAACTTCACCCCGTTGCACAAGAAAGTGGCTATCAGGACTCAGTAGGTAAGTGGATAACGCGATGGCGTTTAAAGCGAACGGTACTGGGTTCGAGTCTCAGAGTAAACATCAATCTGGTATGTAGGCATATCTAGCTGAGCAAAGAACTTTTCAGATCAGAGGCTTAGCTAGCTTATCGTTGTAAAATAAATGAATTCATCAGGTTAAATTCAACTGAAATTTAGGTGAGAACAAGTTTGAACTTAACTAGCAAGTTGATCCTAAAGTGCATTTATTAAGTAAGACATAAACTGAATTTGATTCAAGTGATATTACTTACCATTTTTAAAAATTTATTTTTGGTGGTTTTTCATTAACTCTTTCCTTGCTGATTCCCCTACACGTAAATGATTGCTCCTTTTCTCTACTCTCAAACACACAGCTACTTTATACGTCTGTTGTTCTTTCAATATGATACCTTCTTCTTAGCATCAAGCCTATCATAAATGCACTTATACTCAACAGGATTCAACTAAGTTTTTGTTTTTATTTCCATAAATATTATATTCGAAATTTGAATTTCTCATAGGTTTGATGACCAAAGAGAAGGATAGAAAACTATTCATATTCAAGGTAAAGTTAAGAGTGTTCCTCCAATCGGCCAAAATACATCAAAATAACTAGATCTGAGAGTTTAAAGCCTGTTGTCTTCGGTTTACAATTACATACCATGTTTTTAAAACGATAAAAATCACAAAACGATGATATGGAAGATATTTTATGGGACAGCTGTATATTAGGTAATATATGAATAGAATGTCAAAGTTTCACATAGCACATACTAACCATTTCGCTAATTCTTAAGTTTAGTTAGGATAATGCGAATCTTTTGGATAGTTCTCGTACGATCAACAAGAACAATAGCTTAAATGATTTAATTCAATTTCACTACCGGTAGACAAGATACATTTGTTACATAATGTTTCTCCTAATAATCTTAACATATTTTTATCTGTATATAGCTTTGATACCCTTGTGTTTTTATGCATTTTTAACTTAGTTGTACGGTTGAAAAGTAGGGATTTTATGCTTAATCTCTAACACTAGTCTTATAAGTTATTTAAAAATGGTTCATTTTATTTTGTAACAAGAAAAATGTATATAAGGATCCAGATAATAATTTACTGGTAATATCTCCCTTGAGATCCAAGCAAAATATTTATTTGATATTGTTTATAGTAAAAGGTATATTCATTTAGAAGCATATTGAATTTCGTCAAGTTACAATGCGGTTTAATATATGCGTGGTTATTTAGATGTTGTACAAGCGTCGGAATCGGGGATAAAAGAAAACGCCGGATTACGAAAAGAAAAAAATCCCGAGTCTTGTGCTCAACAACCTTTTGTTTATTAAAATCACAGCTAAATTTTCCATTTATTAGTCTAAGTTATGTTACATATCATAGAGTATTACTATTACTATTATCATCATTATTATTTAGTCATTTGCATTACAAGTTCATGATACATTCAGGTTTTTAAAAAATAACCAGGGGTAATTTTATTTTTATTAAAGAAAAACAAGTCTGCATTTTCATACACTACTTAACCAGCTTTATAATCAAAATAACTATTCGTTTTCACTGGGTTTTTTTTCTGTGGGTTAAAACAAAATAAAACAAAGATATACAAGAATTTTATGAAGCTGTCCTATTAGATCCACAAAAAACGAAAGAAGAGAAAACATCAGCCGCTCTTGAAATCGCATCAAGGTGGGAAAATATATCAAGTCCATCATTGGTGGCCTCTACAACTGACTTGAGAATACCGCATAGTTTATTGAAGAAAACAGATTGTTTTGACAGAGCAGTAAGTATGACTGTATTAACTTATTCTTTGATAACCTTTCTAGAGAAATCCTTTTATCGTTTTGTCCATATATTGTGATTTTCTTAGTATGAATTAGGTAGATTTATTCAAAAATCGGGTAGATGAAGAATGACATGTCTTGATTTTTTTATAATTCGTGGTAGGAGATTAAATATCCTAGAGACAATAGTCATCCTTGGAATCATAGAAACACCTAGTTGACTAACGTTGACAGTTTCCTACTAAATCACTTCAAATATTCAGCAGGAAAGAATATATATATATCGTCTAGGTGCTTTCATTTTAAAAGTAAAAGGTATTTAGTTAGAATATACGATAATATATGACGAAATGTTTTTGTATGAAGCCTTGTCTTATATATTCAATTATCTTTCTTTATACTACACTATTCACTTGGCAAATAAATTTTTACAGTGGTTCTAAGGAAACGAATTGCTAAAATACACTTAAAAATAAGTTAAATAAATTCAACCATTTCAAAAGAATGTTATTAAGTTTTAGTTCCCTTTTAAAGTGCAAGGTCTTAAGACTGTGGCCTTATTTTTGAACAAATTATTCTTGGCAATACTCCTAAAAACTCCACTTTTATCAAAAATTCCAATCTTTACTTTTATGCGATAAAAATCGCTATTAGCTATGAACCCATTTCGGGTACAATGACCTTTGCATTTGCTTCACTTGTTGGTTTATCTTTAAGTATGTTATCTTGTATCGTTTAGAAAGATCAACATTGTATATACAGATTTTAAATATCCCTATAAAAGACAGTCTTAATAAAAGTGCTTCTAAAAATGGCCACTTGTTATCCTCTTACCATATAAATGAGTTTTATTGTTGTATAATATTGGCTAGATTCACGTGATCCATAAAGTCGGCATCTTATATACAAATTATAATTAGGAAAGACCATTTACTAATCGACGAATTATCATGTGGATTATAAACAAATAAACACATATTATCGTAGTGACTAAATTGTTACCATCTACGTTCAATGATTATTAATGATGATGGAAGCATTAAAATTTACTTGGTTTTGGTAGATTATCAGTTAAGTAGTATAGAGTATATGCGTAAATTTCCTCATTTCATTTACATTCTTGTAAATCTAATTTGAATGGTTTTCTGATGTATGTTTTAATGTAATATATTATTCTTTATAAACACAGACGTTTTATTGTTTATCACAACACAAATTTGTAGCGTAACAAAACTTAGAATATTTTCTGTTTCAAGACGTTTCTAAAAAATAAATTAGTTTCCTTAATTGATTTGAAATCAGTTTTCTCACTTCTATCCTTCATTGATAAAAGTGTGAAGAACTTTCATATAATAATAACTATAATTAAGACTAGATTTAGATTAGAACTGTTTTACTAAATGTTTAGGTCAAAGTGTATAGCATTAATTCTTTGCGATAGCTTCGTCTCTGACTTTTTCATCATTACTTACAGCTTGATCGGATATATATTAATCTTTGGACTGTAATAGACAGAATAGGCGCATATAGTATTGTATTTCGATAAGTTTTTGTCAACTTAAGTCAGTAGTAATACACTAGATGTTCATATGTTGATAGTTTTTTGTATTTCATCTAGCATCCTTATAAGAAATGTCATGGTTTCTTTTTAGATAACTGACTAATATTCTCCATTAAATTCATAATGAGTTAAGTCAAAGTTTTCATATCAATTTTAATTTATTTATGTATGTAAGAACAAAATGAATGTTATATTTGCGTGTTTCGTATTTCCATCCTGTTATAGATATTTTACACTGCATATATATATATATATATATATATATATATATATATATTCATCTTGTAACACTGATAGTTTCTTTTAGTAGTCTGAAAAAAGAACAGTGATTTGAATAAAGTAACATAAACTTCATTTTCTTGTCAATCCATTACAATCGGTAATATTTCAATATCAGAACTGCAGACAAACTTTGAATATAGGTATCAATTTGCTGGAAAGTTAATAAAAGCATTATGTAGCTAAGGTCTGAAACAAGTAAAAAGGATAGAGTAAATATGTCTATTTCAAGCCCATAAAAGTCTCATGGATATAGTAAAGAAAGACTTTATGTGTAAAACTAAGTGATCGCGTAAGAAAATAACTGAACACAAAGTAATCATAAGTAAGAATAAAATAAGCTAAGCCCAGTTAAAAGTAATTCCAATCGAAAATATATTTAAAAAACGACATGATGATGCAATAGGGTGTAATCAAGTAGGGGCTACGTTACCAGGACGGTAAATGTTATATTGTAAGTGATAGGTATGTCATTTCCTTCTGGTAAGTAAAAATCCGTCTCCATGTTTTTGAAATAAAACAAATTCGATGTTCACCAATGCAAAACGGTGCTAAATATCTATTCTTTATTTTGTCACCAACAATCTAAAGACAAAATTTAAGTCTTGTACAGCAGTATAATACTAATAATGGATTGTGATTTTCCTTATGTAGTCCCTTAAAACCAAAAGCCTTCTATATATGGGATTGACAAAAAGCACTTTCACAACTGATTTCGCTGTTTAAAAGTAGTGAGTTCAAATGTTATTCTTAGAAACACACCTTTATTTTTATTGCTTATTGAATAGTCAATTCTGTCGAATTTCATAACTGTGCCTACTTAAAGGATATCATTCTGTAAGAAAATACATGATGTTGCTTAAATAGATATTTTAATGACCAACAAAACTACTTTTGTGATGCGACTAAATCAGTGCTCAAAATTTTCTCTTGATATTATTTAGTTTATTACCTGTTTAGAATTCTGTATCATGTAAGCCATATATAAGTAAATGAAAGCCATTTAAAAAGACTTGTCTGCACATCTGGGTTATTTATATTGCCTTGATAGTCTTAAATTTAAATATTCGGGTTATTTATGATTTTCCACTTTTTCAAAAAATAATGCCTTCATTCTATTATAATAAGTTTCTGACTCTAAAGTTTCACCGTTATGGAATCAATCGAGTTAACCAAGGTCAATGACATTTTACCTTAGTGTATTTTATTTCAAGGTAATTTACGAATCGTTATAGCTGATGATGTTCTACTTACTCTGAATTTTGAATTCATTCACCGAATGATATCATATCCTTGTAGTTACTCTATAAAGAAATTATTGATTACGGAAGTATGAATAATGTCACCTGTTAGCCCAGATTTTTTGATACTTTAATATAGACAAACAGTTGTTATTTTCACCAAAAGGTGGTGTTTATATTTGCAATCTAACGGCAGCAAACTGTCTATGCTATGCTTTTTCAGAGCAAAATAATTGGTTAGATTTTTTTCACAGTTAGTTCAATAAGTCTTAATGTTTTGTTCTTGAATATCAATAGATAAACTCTTTTCTATCGATTTATCTGTATTTATTTTAGCGCTCAATGTACCATATTAACTTGGATAACTCACAAAAGTCTTATTCATTACAACCTACTCAAATATCACCATATCATGATCTACATGTGGTCAACTTGGATAAATCATGGAAGCATATGGAACCAGATCTAAAATATGAATATCAATCATCTAATTCGTTTCATAATGTAAATCAGTCACCATCATTGGAGAATACGTCAGATAACCGATTAAAAAGAAATGCTGATACTGAATTTATAACTGAAAATCCTCTTTTTGTTGACGATCAGTCTAATATGAAACTATATGATATAAAATTGTCACCTGATATTCCAGTGGCGAAACCACGTCAAAAACGTTTAAAACGACCGAAACCAACTTTGACTCATGAATTTGATGCTAGATTGTCTAGAAAATTAAATGAAAGTACTTGTTCAAATGATCTTTTGTCTATTCATGATGACATTCCACCAAATAATCTTGAAAATGATGAATTTATTGACAGACAATGGGCTTTACTAAGTCGTTTGCCTGTTACTATGGAAGTTATTATTGAAAAAAGTTCTAAAGGATTTGGATTTAGTATTGCAGGTGGACATGACAACACTTTGGGTCCAGATGATAATGATACCGATATTTATGTGACACGAGTTAATCCTGGTGGTCCTGCAGATCATGAATCAGGTTTACAGTAAGTTAGATTCAATGTTTACCTTCGTTATAAAACATGCATATATTATTACTTATTTTATTTATTAAGAGCTTTGTTAAAAAACCATAATTCTGATGAAAATGTTAAACCTTCTGTATCAATATTAACTTAGGTATTTTGATTATTAATAGTGTGACTATATTTCAATTTGTAACTTTCTGTGTTGCCTTCCTATAACTTACTCCTACACCACCAAACATTACCTATCTAGGTGAGCGGTGGTTAGATATGCGTATCGCGTACCCTGGCCGCCATTACTCAATTCTTCATCTTTGTCGAGTATCCTAGACATAGAAACATCGTGAATATATTTACACCCTTCTCAATATGAAAGTAATGAAACAATAATCAATGCTCCACATTTTGTGTTGGATTCATCTCTGTCATATCCCGGAATCATTTTCTTTAATTTGTGTGTTTTGTTATTACTATGTTTACCTGTTACATTTTATTTCAACCAATAGTGGTTTGGACAATTATTTATCAATGCAATAGTTAACCATGTTGTAAAACAAAACAATACTAATGGCTACCAGAACAGTTCGACCTATTTACAGCATCTATTATACGATAGCTAACTATACGATTTCAGCACATAGACGAAAAAAGGTGGAAAGATTATTAGCCTTGTTCCTAGACCAACAAGACATATATATATATATATATATATATATATATATATATATGCATACACTGTAATATTTCTCAAATATACACACGTGAAGTATTATTACTGTTTTTTGTTGTCGTAATCGAAACCTCGAATTTGAAATTATTTTTTACTGAGATTAAGTATCACAGATCCGATTATCCCTTAAACAAATAATTGGATATATTTTGTGGTTACTAACCCGTTTTTACACAAATTTTACATCATCAGCTGTCAAACGAATAAATATTTGGATTTGATTTTCAGTATTTGCTTGAATATTAATAAATTGTAAAATATGCTAAAAGAAATCTTAAGTATAAATGTACGTTATCTGACTTTTATAACTGATCTTTCTTGTATGCATTCAAAGGCTTATTATCTACTAAAAAGCATTATATTTTATTCTTGGGTCTCTAAAAATGTTTTTACCATAAGGGTTGGATTATTGACTGCCTTTTTAATAAAAACAAACACGTTTGAAAGGTTCATACGGTAAATTAGGAATTTTGTGAATACTCAATCCAATTTCTGTGTTATTTTGTACATGTTAATGTCCACTGAGTATTCTCTGATTATGAGCATATATGTATAACGTATATATTGCAATTTTGAAGCGAATGAAAATGCTGCTTATAAAATAAAATAGGGAACAGTGAGTAGAAGAATGGCAGATTTTATTTTTAAATTATTCAGAGATTAACTCGTACATCTGTTAAATTGACTTTACCTTATGAAACTTGCTATCTTAATCACTTTTACTGTGTCCCTGTTTTATAGCATGCATAATATTCATATATTTATATCATACAAGATTTTCTGTTGTTTTCGTGTATTGCATTAAAATTACGTGAAAATACCTACATGATTAGATTTATTAATGTTCTAAGACATAAATAAGGAATAATTCATCATCTTGTTCGTACATTTATTTAAATTTCTGTACAAGAAAAAATTTTAAATAACGTTCGGTTGTAAAACTTTATCTTTATCACTATTTCCTAATCCAAAGTTAGTTGTACTGACTTATTAAATATTTTTGATTTTTTTAAAACGAATAAATCTCTCAAAAAATGAAGAATATTTGAGCGAACAATTGTTTTCAATAACTTCATCATAAGGCTCTACAGTTATAAGTCCATAATTATTACGATATTTTACAAGAGATAAAATTAAGGCATGTATTAATGAATTTGACAATGTTATGTGTTAAAAAATGGTGAACGTTTGCATCTGTTACGATATATATATACTTCAAAATTGTATTATCTGCAAATTAGAAAGGTCATTCAATAAAGCTCAGGATGATTTGAAGTAAAGTGTTTAGTCACCATAAGTATAATAGTATTATAGCAAAGTTGAAAATACAAAAAAAGTTTTGTGTGAATAAAATGCATTGTAAGAGAATTTAATCTTGTCAATTGAGATAATAATAATAATAATATTATTGTGTGAATATAATATATAATAAGGAGGGTGTTATCAAGATAGTTACAATCAACGAGTTGGGAATGATGGATGTAAAGATTAAGGTAGAGATAAAAAATATTGATAATAGGGAAAAGAATTAAATAAATAAAAATAAAGGAAAGGGGGTAAGAGGTTTATAATATTCAGTCTAGGTATTTGGTGATCCAGTCGTAGGCCAAGGTAAACAAAAGAGGTTGGATATATTTTTTCTGGATATATAAATTTGGTCTTTGGAGTTGATCTAGATGTCTTCGGCTATGTAAAGCAGTTGTAATCTATCTCATTGAGGTAGATATTTTGGGACTTGATATAAAACAGAGAAATCTTCCTCTATTTTGATATGATGTTCACTATCTACCAAGTGAGAAGAATGGTGCTGTTAATCGATTTGGTAACTCCTTTTCCCAACCATGCTGGTACATGTTCACGAACACGCAAGGATAAAGCCCTCTGAGTACGGCCTATGTAACTAGCTCCACAGGAGCAATTGAATCGGTATACACACATGGAAGAGCCCATCTTCGATAGCCTATCCTTGATTAGTTGTGTGAGTACTGGTTTAGTTGAGAAAATTATGTGTAGCTTGGCGGCGTGAAACGTCCTTTCGACAGAAATAATGGCTATCCTGCTAATCTCGTTAAAAAATACCTCGTACAAAGTACTAAAAAAGAATAAATTGTGACACAGTCAGTAAAAAGACCTTATATCTGAGACTAGACTTAAAAGGGGACATAGCGGGTGATACTTTAACACGTCGACTCAAAAGATCTGTCGAATTCCTAGTATTGATTTTTGTTGCGGATTGATAGTTTTGTGCTGGTAGGAATTCTTTCATATGTTGTGGTTCATGTGTCTACTCATACTTACTACTAGAATAAAAGTGGTTGAAACATTGTGATTGGAAAGCGAGTGTTTCAACCATCAAGTTAATACCCCAAGAATCACCATAGATAAATCGTTCGTCATTGTTTTTACTAACATCAGTAACAATAGCGTTAACGCCATAAGTGATGAAGTATTTAATAGAAAACTAAAGAAAATACCACAAACAATATCAGCGTTATTATTTTCTAATTATCATTATCCTGCTAACAATGACCCTGAGTTAGTTGTTGGGAAGCTTCTTTATTGTTTCTGGTTTAAGGTGTTTACTGTCTATTATTTTTATCGAGTTTAAGATTGGCTGATATGATTTCGGTATTGTAAATGTTGGTAATCGCAATTTCAGAAGAAACAAGAATTGACGTAACTTTATTTTAACAAAACAATCAATATTGTTCCTTCTCATATCAAAGTGATGTCGGAGATTCATGGAAGTCGATATTGTAGATCGTTGATTGGGATTCACTGGCTAATCAGTATCATCTTCGCCTCTAGAATTAAAGGCTCTGCATAAGACGCTGTCTGAAGTTTAGATTGTTTACCACTGGGAAGTCTTATACTAAGATATAATAACAGCAAATAATCCCTTGATTCTAATCTACTCTCCAACTGGTGTCAGTTTATTGGGAAAATTGGTTTTATTCACGAACAATAAAGTTTCTTCGTGAAGTGTTAAACAAATTAGTTGCTGTTTATGGGATAAATAATGTTAGTGAATATTGATATTTTTCTAAAAAGCTTTGGATGTTTATTATTTTACTTTTCTAAAGTTGAATTTATGCCTACTAGGTGGGCTATCTTTCATTAAAATTTATGTTTTGTAAGACAACATCCTCTATCTGTATACAGAATCAAATACTGAAAGTTGTTTTCGATCTATTGCCAGGCTTCCTGCTGTTGTTTTTACTGGTTTCACAAAACTAAAAATAGTACCTAAACACCAGTGTTTTTCCTCTAAGGTCGAAATATCTGTAAAGTTAGGGTGGCCAAAAATTATGAAATAGTCTATATTGAGGGGTAACTGGTGTCTAATTCTGTTGTTCGTAGACTTGTTTGTAGTCTGTTGACCAAGTTGTAATTTGATCAATAGATCAAGTGATAGATCTAGTTTTAAAGTCTGCTTGTTGAAGAAAAATAGACAGGAAGTCCTGGTACTTAGGTTTCAGTAAATATCAAGGATTAGATACTGGGACGTCGGTTGCTACTCGGCAGCTGACTTGCGTGGAAATCTCAGTCTTTAAGGAGTTTGATTTCGACTCGAACAACTCAGTGCTTTCATCACTGATTTTAAAACGGTGGCTCAGTGGCTGAGAAGTTCTGCTTTCTGATACTAAATTATTGGTTAAGATCCCAATTCAGTCCAGCATGAAAAATCAGATGGCATCACTAGCCTTCACGCATAGAGTATTCCTCGAAGTCAAGTAAATGAATAAATATCCGGCAAATAACACATGTTCAAGTTTTACGGTGAGCGTCAGTTTTTGTAGGAATTTCAGATTAGCTATTACGAATGATAAGTTAGTTACATGTGAAGCTGTAACTTTTACAATATTTTACGAATAATCTATTTAGCTTTAACATATAACTAGAAAGCCTTATTCAGTCAGTCAGTCCGTCAGCTACAACGTAGGCAAATATATGCATCGGTCCAAGTTGCCATACCTCATTAGCACAACAAGATGAACACCAAATTCATAGAAGTAGTTACTTCAACGGTAGTAATATATAAAAGAAAGATTGCATATAACGATATAATACAGGAAGAAGAATTAATTCGTAGAAATAAAGGTGTAAAGTAATTTTAATCTCACAGTTTAAGGGAAGACAGGGAGTGTATGCACCGACGTCATTGTGATCGATTCTGAGCCATGTCACCCAGAGTCTCCAATCATTGGTTACGATAGTAGCGCGGACCTCAACCAAGTAGTGTGCATCTATCAACATGAACCGGCGGCCTGCTTGAATATCTGGGCTACCT